AATCTCGGTCCGAAGGAGATATCACAAAGAGTGCTTCCACTGACAAGAGTCGCCCTGAAGCTCTCAAAAGCAAGAGTTGGTCCAGTAGTAGTCAAGGTAAGAAGCGAAAGATCTTCAGATGGCCGAATTCATAGCCATCATTGTAAATAGCATGGGAGCTGGTGTGATGATGTCCATGCGTTATACTGTTGTAATCCAGTAGTACTGTTGTCGAGCACGATGTATAAGATGTAGGTGGGCTTTCGTGAGCTACTAGCAGTTCCTTCATTGGTTGTCCTTGCCGGGGTCATGAAGGGCCTGTTGTCTCGCTGTTGTCGGCACCATATGTGAAAATATTACAGTCAAAAATGTTCATGACACATCGAATCAATAGTGGCAGCTTGAGTAAGGTATAAGGCTCTTGAGAGGTTATAGTTTGAGAAACGGTTTTGGTTCTTCTCGGGTGACAGAGGAGTAGCGGAGTTCTAGACGGTTCAACAGCAATAGGGATCGCTATTTGAAAATTATAGCTCATTGGCCGTTAACTACGATCAATGATCGCAGTGGGCCGGGAGGTATCTTGAAGTCTGACAGCGTTTTCATAACGGCGACACGAAACCCGAACATTGGCGAGAACTCTCCGACTATTCCTCGTGTTGTCGCTCCCCGATATACACGCCCTCACTGACGTCGTTCGTTGCTCACTGTTGTAAGGCGTAGAGAAACAGCTAGGGTTGGGTTCACTGTTGCGAGGTTCAGAGAAACGGCAAGGGTTGGAGCCCGAGATTTTATGTGGAGTTTTCTCTAAGGGAGAAATCTGAGGGTATTCCCACGGCGCCTTTTATGAACAGTTCCTTTGACGATCGGGCCGAGTTTGCTGTCCTCCAACTCGGGTTTATGAACTTCGTCGTAGCTCCCTTGTGGAACGCCATGGCTGACATGTGGCCTGCCTTGGAGCCTCGGAGGAAGCAACTTGCTGAAAACGTCGAGTACTTCAAGAAGCTGCGAGAATCTGTCAAGACGGAAGAGGATTGCCCTGCTGAATGACGCTGGGGCTATCCATTTATTTTACTGTATACTTGTACTGTAATGTTATTTAACTGCAAATATTAGTTTTACTCAGCAGCCAGATCGTGCTCTCATTTTGTGTAGAATGTATAGTCCTCGAGAGTTTTGAGAGGAGTAGAGACTCCAATACATGTACTGTATACTTGTACCGTTATGTTATCCAAATGTAAATATGAGTCCAACTCGGCACTCCAACTCTGCTCTTCTTTGTGTAGATAGTATAGTAACTTTTCCCTGGAGGTCTGCTTCTCGCGTTGTCATGATGAACTCTACAGTCAGTACCATACGGATGGGGTTTCGGGTTGAAACTCCGACTACATCAGACTTGGCAATTGTTAATGGCGAACGTTCTCTATGTTTGGAACGTGGTCACTATGCTTGTTGGTGAGGAACATGCTCTTTACTGAAATGTCCTAAGCTACTGTGATCGCACTAATCTGACTGGTATCAGCTTCATTCTGCTATGTCCTCAGCTGAGCGTATAGGGAAATGTGGGGATACTCTTGAGAGCTTCTCTGAGTGAGGCAACGACCACTGTCCAACGCAGTGTCGGAGTATTCATTTGGTTACCTCGGCTGAGTTGAGAAGCGTCCCCGTTACAGTCATACACAGAGTGAACCGTATAGAAATCGACGAGAATTCCCAAATATTTCTTCATTGTCACCAACACTCGTATGCATATTTACGACCACGGAGCCATGAAATGTCTGGCTTGATCCAGGTATGATAGTGTTAGAGGCTCTAAGGCTGACCTCTCCAGAGGGACTGCGAGGAAAAGTGGTCGTACCGAGGATCGAACCGACGATCTCCTGGATGGTGTACTGAACGCGCCAGCAGCGCC